GAACAAAACCCAGCGTCACAACAGCATGGACTGCCATTACCGCGAAAAGACCCCACAGACGCCACTGCCACTCGCGCAGCACTGACCGGCTCAAGCGAAGCAGCAAACCCAACGCTGTGCACTCTTTGGCTCCAACCTGAACAGCCATGGACCTCCTGACACCGTCGGACGCCGAGCGCCTGCACCCAAGCGGCCTAATCTACCTCGCCAATGTCATGCGGACCAAACAGGACATCGGCCGCTGGAGTCAAGCACTGCGGCAATGGCGGCCGCCGCGAACTCCACTGAGAGTGCACCTGGAGAACAACAGTCTGGACGAGCACGACGCCGCTGAGATCCTGCAGGCCATCGGCGGGGACGTGCAGGCGGTGTACCTGCACCACAACAACATCCGAAGCCTGGAACCGCTCACGCCCTTCATCGAGCAGCACTGGGAGACCCTAAAGGAGCTGCACCTGAGCCACAACCGACTGTCCACGACGGGGACGAAGGCCTTGCTCCTTCTGCTCGGCTGCACGAAGGTGAGCGCCGCCGGAGCCGAAACCGCCGGCAGTTGCTCCTGGCTGAGGTTGGAATTCAACCACATCGACGTGGACAGACTCCTGGAGCAGCTGCCCTCGCAGATCAAAAATAGACTACAGCTCAGCGACAGAGGATGCACTCCGAGACACTGCTGTTGCCAGGGACGACGGTACACCAAGCACATCCACTGCAAGTTCTTGACAGAGCAGCGCACAATCATGCCGGAGCACAAAAACCATCATCGCGATCAACGGCGCGAGCCAGCTCCCTCACGAAGTCGCTGCCAAGACGACGAGGAGACCCAGGACAACCCAAAGACTGTAACTTAAGCAGACCAGCTAGACGAAGACCAAAGCCACAGCCACGAAAAAAAAAAACAACCAACCTGTCCAGAAGAGCAGCGACCCAAACCCTTCAGCCCGACCTAAAGACACACAAAAAAAAGAGATCAACACCAAAGTCGTCCTGCCACAGCTCTGCAGCAGGAACCGCGGCCAAGCATCTCATCGGTATAGGCAGCCCGGTTTCACCCGAGAAAAGATATGCACACAGTCCGTAAAAGCCCGGGCAATGCCATCGGCAGCCAGCGCTGACAGAACCGGCAGACTAGCAGCATGCAAGTCCGACTGCCCGCCGCCGCGAGGCACAGCATGCCCCGCAGCCACGTCAAGCCAAACACGCGTAGACCGCATGAAGGCCTACCGGCAAACAGCCCCCGCCCCGCGGCGGCAGCCATGGCGACGAACGAGGCGACGACGAGAGCGCCGGGACAAACACCCGTGGCCTCGAGGGCAGCAGAATACCAATGAAAAGATGAAGCACGTCATCAAGCAGCAATGGAAAGACGAGCAAGAGTACACCGACGCGAAGACGCTCCGTCCCTTCCTGCTAGCACTGCTCACGTCCTCGGAGTCCGGGTACTCTCGACAGCAGCGACTCTGGCAAGATGCATGCTGGTTCCTCAGCAAGCAGCACAGAGCTCAGGCGGAAACAGTCAATGTGCGCAGCATAGAACGACACAATTGACCTCACGGGCGGACTTGCGAAACACTCACGTCACGCTCTGTCCACCGCCAAGGTGCGCAACAGCTGGCGGCGGTCGCCAGAAAGCGGCATGGGACGAACTTCCGACGCGACTCCGCAAGATGCAACCCGAGACCTTATCGGCGCGGTCGGAGCCGGGACACCCACGACAGCAGCACCTCTGGCAGGACGCGTGCTGGTTCCTCACGCAACAGCCCGCGACTCAGAGAAAAACCCACAGATCACGCAGCATGCACACGGTAAAACTACCACCCACAGACACAGCTGCACGTCGGTCCCATAACGATATGTCCACCACCAAGGCACGAAGCAGCCCGCGACGGTCTCCAGAAAGCAGCATGGGACCGACTGCTGACGAGACTTCACCTGATGCAGACCGAGACCAAACAAGCGGGACGTCGCATCGTACTGCTCAGAGCGCAAGGCTAAAAGCCACGCACATAGGCAAGCTCTCAAGAAGCTCCCCAGACCAGATGCCGGTGAGCCGGTACATTCTGTTTCAAGCTTTGTGCTCCAAGCCGAGCTACACACTCGGAGACGCCACCGTCAGTCGCGATGGCAGCTCAAGAACAGCAAAATTAATCCGAGAGGGCTTGCTCCTTTGCATGAAACCACGCCGCCGTCACCGCCGACACATCCTCGGAAAGCCGGCTAGCTCGTAAAAAACAAACGGCTTCGAGCGATACCAGCCCCCGCTCTCGCCGGCCGACAGGCTCAAGCCTTGGATACTCTCGAGAGCCCTCGCAGCCTAGAAGCAGCCACACAGAAGAGCGGCATGGCAGGCAGCAGAGCTCACACCTGCGTCCACTCCACGAAGAAACAGCGCTGCAGCACCGGTGGAATCAGACTGAGATCACGTGCCACCACCGGCGACGCAGCCGGGCGCGAAGACGGCTCGGAGCTCGTTGCCAACATCCGACGCTGGGGAAGCACCTTCGGTGTCTTCGAGGACGGCTCCTGCGGGGAACCGTTCTGGCAAATCCAGATCGCGCAAAAAGGGCGGCAAGCTTTTGGCTACGACTTGCTGGCCACGTGCAGAGAAGCCTTGCAGAACCACCCCGACACCGACATTCGCACCCTAGCGCAGCTGGAGGCCAAGATGCACATCAGAATCCTGGGCGGGGCCCCTCCCATAACCGGGCCATCGGATCCCGACGACGTGGGCATACAAAACTGGCAACCCGTGCTGTACGCCCCCACGCCAGAGGACGCGCTGAACCTGGTCCACTTCATCACCCGGCACAAGGTGACCGCCGGGCAACTTCTGGAACTCCCGCACTTCATCGCCTTGTTCCCATGCAAAGACTCCGCAAGCGTACCCGCACCCTGGATCGTCCACGACGAGCACCCGCTGAAACACCTGCCATTCCAAGCGCTCCCGCCGCGAGGCCGCCGACATGTGCTGTTACAAGTAGAACTGGAAGGAGCTGCCGATGAAACGACGACCAGGCCAGTCGTCAACGAGAAAACGAGCCAGAAGGTACCCGACGCACCACAAGCCGGCCAACAGTACAATCTCATGATCTTCGGCGGCATCTGGGTACTCCGGGAGCTCTTCGACGCCGCTAACATCCAGGGCGGCACCATCTCGTTCCCGGACAGCGCAAAAACCCAATACGTTCGGCATTTGAAGCTCAAGTTCCCCGAAGGCCACAAGCGCCGACTCCAGAACATCCTCGAACAAGTCCTGCTGCACATCCCCATCTACCTGATCGACAACACAGGCGTCAAGACGGATCCCCTGATCGACTGGTTGCAACAGCAACCGTCCGTACACCTGAGCGAAAAAATCTGGTAGGCAGCGCCGCGAGGGCACTTCGCAAACACAAGCCGAAGGGCTGCCCGAGCGAATGCCGTGCCTAGTACAGAGTCCATCTAACAGCAGGCATGAGCCTCGAAGGAGCAAGAATTTACACTGCCCCGCTATGAAGCCGAAGGCAACCTGCTCGCAAAGCAGAAAAAGGGAGCAAGCCGGGGATGTCAGTTCGCAGCACCCACCCCGTGGAGCCAGAGCACAGACAGTATCAGATGCCACAAACCTTCGTCGCAGCCAGACGACCTTGCGGCTCAAGCTCGAAACCCACCCAGAGAAAACGAGAAGACAGGCCAAGCAGGCATGTCCGACCTCGACTGCCACGCGCCCTGGCACCATATCCAAGAGAGCAGCGGCGAGGGCGAGGAGATACAAGCAGCGGTGTTCCGCAAGCCACCAGCACCGCAGTCGCCGCGTCAGAGCATCACTCGGGGCACTTTTGCATTCCGAACGCCGCCGAAGCCCAAAGACAAACGTCTCCGCCGCCTAGTGCAAGCGGAACGACAAGAGCTTCGAGTCTTCCTGCACGAGAACCCATGCCCCGCGAAGAGGCTCGTGCAGCAATGGCTGCTAGACGCGGCAAGCAGCGCAGTCCGCGGAGAACCAAAACCGCGGACCCTCGCAGGGATACTAGAATGCAATGGATGGACGTACGAAAGCCTCGGCTGGTTTCACTACCGTTCCTTCGCCGACCTCTGGCGATCCGGCACGACTGCATTCGCAGCCAGCGTCGACGCACAGCGTGCAGCCGGCATATGCCTCTACCAACGAGGAGGAAGAGAATGCATGCAGTTCAACTACTATGTGCTCCACTACGCGATGTGCGGCGAGGACTTCGTCGCCAACCCTCCACTATCGGCCTTCGGCTTCGTCAACCGGATCGAGAAAGCGTGGGACGGCATCGGATCCTGGAAGGCTTGAGAACGGGCAAGGAGACGTGCAGACCAACGCACCCGATCTCAGCACTCCAACGCAACAGGAAAACAAAAAGTTCACGAGCGAGGGTAAGTCGGAGTTTCGCAGAGCCCTTCCAGATCTCGATCCGACGATCGGCCGCAGCCATAAAAAAAACACTCAAGCCGAATCTCCACCAGAACAAGCTAGAGAAGGGGCAGCATGGCTTCTACGACATCGGTGCCTCGGACACGCACACACTCCACAGCGCAACCGAAGAAATCGCAGATAGTTGCTCCAACCACCCGTAGCACCAGTGACGCAAGCTCAGCGCATCTCAGGAAGAAAGCCCTGCGCCCGCCGACGCGGTGAGCGCAGAAAAAGCAGAAAGCTCGCCAGTCGAAACACAAGGAGCGGTACTGAGCTGCCAAGCCACGCAAATGATGACGGCGGTCAGCGCCCCAGACCAGTGCCTCAGCAAGGGAAACAGGCCGAGTGTCCAGCTGAAGCGACGCTCGACTGCAACCCCCCCCCCCCCCCAAGACACAAGAATCACACGGCGACCAAGGCCACGCAGACAGACCAACAACAACCCGACGAAGATCCTGCCGCGCCAACCAAGCCTTCACGTCAAGCACCTCGATCAGCACAAGACGGAAGGAGTGACCAACAAACAACTTGCCCAAAGCTCCGAATCCGGCATCGACAAATGCCTGCATGCGAGGTGATGCCGCAGGAAGACGGCGCGGCACAAGCAGATGCCGACGGGATGAAGGACATGTCGCAGAAAATGCCGACACTGGGAAACCGGATCATGGTGCTGAAAGAAGGCTGGGTCGCGCTGATACTGAGCGGCACAAAAACCATGGAGCTGCGCAGCCAGCCAGCAAAAACAGGACCAATCTGGATTGGATTCGAAGGTCGCGTCTATGCCCAAGCAGAAATTTCAGACTGCAGGCAGATGTCGCAGGAGATCTACGAAGAAACCAGAGCACAACACCGCCACATGGGCAGAATGAAACAAGGCGACTCGCTGTACGGCTTGGTGCTGACGAACCTCGTCCAACTAGCGCATCCAATCGACTACTACCAGAAGCCCGCAACGGTGCTCTGGGAGAACTTCAGGACTGGACCGGACGAAAAGCTCCCCCACCGCAGAGCTTCAAAGCGCGCACAAGAAATGCGGGCTTTACAAGATGCTCGCGAGGATGACGAAACCTCGGAAATCGACGAGAGCCCGGGTGCAAGAACACAGAAGAAGAAGATCGGCGGGGAAAAGACGGCGGAGACGCCACGCGGCCAAGCACGGAGCGACAAGGAGCATCAACAAAAAGACGCCGGCCTCGCAAATCCGCCCTCCCGCCAATGTAGACGAAGCCCGACCAGGAAAATCCGAGCTCCGCGTACCAGACGTCCAGCTGCAGCAAAAGTGGCGAACACCCACTGGGAACGGCGCCCCGAACACGCGCCGAGACCTAAAGCGATGAGCCTCTGCACAAAGAAAAGGGAGCGCTGCAGCTCAGACCGCAAAGCATGCTAGAAGGGTATTGCAGAAACTGCCACCCCAGCCGATCGCCACTGCAGCTATTTGGTTCAAGAGCCCTCGCCTCCAAGCACCGCAGAGAAGGCAGTCCAGCGCGAAGATGGCCAGCAAGGAGTCCAGGACACGGAGAATGCCACGACGGACGCCGTGGGCAGACATTCAGGACAAGAAAGGGGAACGACAAAGCGCCAGAGTCGTGTGGCAGCCCTGTGCTCGATCAGGACAGCGACTGATCCACAAAGGCCCGCACCGCCGCTGTGCCGGCTGCACAGGCCACGCCACCAGAGAGCCCCCCCAAGAAGAAGCCTCGCTCGCCAGGAAGAGAGCACGTCAGCTGGCTCGACACGCCACGGCAAGGAAGCTCACAGACCCAAGCCGCGCAAGAAACCAGAACGATCCGCGACCAACAGGGCAGCTGACACTCATCCGACAGGAGCCGCACAACGACCACAGCACGCAAGCCTCGATGCCAGACGTCCAGACGGCAGACCAGAAAACTCGACGCGACCGCAGACGGAGGACCACGCAACAGCCAGGCCCCCAGATGGAACCACGCCATCGAGATCAGCCGTCTGGCTGTGCCCTTACACCTGCGGAACGCGACCACGGCCTTCGTGGATAGATGCCAGAGCCCAACAGCGCCGAAACCCCGCCCGGACACCCACGTCGAGCCAACATGGAGTCGGAACCTCAGAGTCCCAATGTCGACGGCCCCGCCTCTAGAGGCCCCTGCACAGTAACCACAGTCGCACGACAGGTGAGCCGCAGGAACTTGGTTGCGACTACACTCTTCAGGAAGAAGTACGCCAATTCGTCAGAGCAGTCATGTACCGCGAGCTGGAACAAGAACAGCTCGCATGGTGGCAGGACAGCCTGAAGGAGCGCGGCCGCTACCACCGCTTCCCATGCCGAACGTGGTTCGAGCTCGTCTACACATGGCGCCCTGCTATACACGCTCCAGAGCCAAGACCCAACGAAAAGGCGGAACGACCACAGCCGCAGGAGGTTCTCGCGGAAAGCTTCTCACATCCACGAGGCCCGCAGCCTCA